CTTGAGTTGCGTGAACACGACGGTCAGCTGGAGGTGCCCACCACGTTCTTGCCACCTGCACAGGGGGCGGAGCGTCCTGTGGACCCCGAGGTTATCGCAGGTGAACCGCTATATTGCGTCACAATGGACGAGCTTAACCAGCAACGTGCTGCAAATGAACAGCTGGCTGAGGAACTGCTAGAGAAGGCGGCGCAGATTGATGCTCTGCAACTGGAGGCGAAGGACTCTCTTGATCAGTTTGGTGGGCGTTGCCGTGATCTGGAAGATCGTGCAGCTGAGATGGAAGAGGTGGCTGCAGACAACATGGACGTGTTGGAAGCCGAACTGGCTGATGTCCTTGTGCAGTTGAAGGCGTTGGAGGGCGAGAACGCTGCTCTATCTGCCCTGCTCTGTTCTAGGGATGCCGAGATTGCAGATCTCAAGGCACATGACGAGCGGTGGGCTGCGCCTGTAATAGCGAGGGGTCAGGTGACGACACAGCACGTGAAGGTCTTCGATGGCGATGAGTGGGATGTTGTGCTAAGCAGGAAGCCGGAGGCGCTCCGGCAAGCGTTTGTGACGGACGCCGCAGCTGCGTGTCATGTGGCTGCGGAAGCCATTGTTCAGCCAACGTTTGCTCTCGGAGGTTTGCGCGTGGACTTCGGCGTCACGCATGATGAGAGCATCACCAAAGAAGAGATTGACCGACGCCTAGCAGACTTCCCGTTCCGTAACGTCATGGATCTCTACGCCAAGCGTCATCAGGAGAAGGATGGACTAGACAAGGCCCTTGAAGAGCTGCAACAACTACGCGACACTGCTGAAGCCATGTCTGCCGCAAACAGTAACCTTGCCAGGGACCTTGCACAGAAGGAGGCAGAGAACGAGAAGCTCGCGGAGGATCTTGCCGCCATGGAGCGGTCAAACAATGCTGCAATGGATCGCCTTAACGACCTTGAGGCGAGACTTGCTGCAGCTGAGTCTGAGGTGCAGAATGAACAGAATAAGGGTGAGAAAGTACGCGCCACTACACGAGACCTAATGGATGCAATGAAGGAGCAGTACGCCAAGGACATGGATGAAATGCGCACTGGTTATGAGGAGAAACTCGCCACACAGGAAGCAGAGAACGAGAAGCTGGCTGCAGAGGCTGCCGCCTTCCGCCATAAGCGCTGTGAAGCTCTGGAGATGCGTGAGCACGACGGCCAGCTGGAGGTGCCCACCACGTTCTTGCCA